GTTTTACCATCATGTCATAATGGTTAAAGAAATGGATCTAACTTCTCAAAAAGAAAAGAACAGAAAAAGGATTATAAGTGTAAAATATAAAAAATTAAAAAAGAGATTGTACACTATGATATCATTTACCATTGTTACAAGGATGTCACAATTATAGCCTTTAGATATCAAATTGGATGGCTTGAGATGTGCCGTGAGGTGCGAGAAATTCTTTCTGAACTTTAAGTTTAATCAATGATATACTTACAACCATCCGATTTAAAACTTGACAAGTAAAATTGATTGTTACCTCCTTGGACTAAAAATAAATGGTCTCTATGTATACTCTTCTTATTTTTAAATAGGGTATTGTTTCTATAAGGTTACAACCTTAAACAATCCAATTAAGGCGTACCTCCAAATTTTATCATAAGATGTAATTTTAGTGTAAAACATTTCTAGGATTACCTCAAAATCGATATTCATATCTAATTATAAATTTTTAAACTCTAAAAATAGTTAAAATCAAGTAGATCTATAAACATATGAAAATCTTGAAAATGGACGGTCTAGATAATATGTTGCAAGATGTACTATTTCTAGGATTCAAAATCTTTTTTTTTTTCCCTATTCATACATCTCGTTTTCGAGATGATCAATTAGAGGGCTTTTCAACATTAAAACAACATTTTTCCGATATATTTTCGAGGTGCATATGTAGTTCTACATTTTAAGGTTGCAACCTTATATAGACTTTTTCCTTTTAAATATCATATAGAAAAATATATTTACCAAAATTTGTCCTTTTAGAAATAACCAATTAACCCAAAAATAAACCCCATCATTTTCAATCTTCGAGACCAAGCTGCAAAAGGAAAGGTAGAAATATTGTCATGACAGCAAACTTTGGTACTCTTACTATATTAAAGGTCAATAACAAAAAGGAAAGCTTTCTATGTTCCCCTACAACATTGAAGTTCTATCCTCCCCTTACCATCCAGCGGTCAACTTTTTATCAAGAGAGCCACTCACCATTTGATCTTAGATCCGACGTCTTAAAGTATTTTATTTTTAGCTTTTTAAATACAAATTTTCTGAATATGAAATTTGGTACATATCATCTTCTCATTGGAACGTACTTATAAAAAATATTAAAAATAATTTTTTGATAAAAAATAATGACCAAAATACCCTTTGAAGCTTTTAGAGGTATTTTGGTCATTTTATTTTATCAAAAATATTTTTTTATATTTTTTCGTTAGTGCAAGTTTAATAGAGGAATGGACTTCCAAATTTTGGTGTCAAAATAGTTTAAAAATTAAAAATAAAATAATATAGAGACATGATATTGTGATTGGGACAATCTTAGCCCTTCATTAAAAAATAGACGGTTGGATAAGGGGAGGGGAACAAAGAAAGCTTTCCCAAAACAAAATTATAAGTGTAATTCTCGTACTTAATGATAAATTGTGGGAAAATACAACGCAACCTCATTTTTTAAAATCGTTTACCGCCCTCTAGAGTTCATCGAATTTCCAAATTCGATTCATATGTTACAATCCAATTCCAGCACCATTTTCAGAGTAACAAAGATCATTCCATTCACTTGATTCTCTCTGTAAATTTCTTTTAATCCTCTCTTACTCCCTATCATTCCATTCACTCTGTCTCTCTCTCTTAGGAGGGAAACGAAAAATTATTCTCTCTATTCTCGTTTCTCTCTCTGGTTCTTTTCCCTGAGATTTTTGGGGTTGAGGTTGGGCATTAGAGTGCAGAGGCATCGTTCCTTTTTGCTTCTGGTCCTTGCTCTTCTTTTCGCTGAAGAATTTGGGGTTGACATTTAGAATACCGGGGAGAACCATTTTTCGTTTTCGGATTTCATCGTTTCTGCATAACCAGCAGGGACCCAACACTGACGTTTCCTTCGAACTGATATGCTTTAGTTTTATGGCATTCTTTCTCATCTTCGATTATCGATCTCATCAGAGAAAAGGGCCTCAGAATACATGATTTAGAAATATATTTGTATCAAATTAGGGTTTATTCTTCTTCTTTACTCGATCAATCTTTCGCAGAGGTGCTCTTGTTCTTTGGCATTCTTTTATCATGTTATCTTTCTTGATTTCTGGTTTTCTGAAGAATTTTGTGTTATTTCATCAGATGGAAGAATATGAATCTTTGTTTTTCTAAGTTGTTCGATTTCTAGTTCCTCTGCTATTATTTCTTTCTGTTCGACTGTGTTTCAAGAGGCCTGATTACAGAGCATTACTCTCCATCTTCTTTAAGAATTCTCTCTCTCTCTCTCTCTCTTATAGTCCTAAAGTTCTTCATTTTGGTTTGGGTTTGTATAGAGCGGAGACTCTAAACAATCAAAGTAGAGCGCACCTTCAAATAGTTTCGAAAAACGTGGTTTGAATTTCCAAAACTTGAAAAAAAAAAAATTTCATGTTCATGAATCTTGATGTTGAGATGATGAATTTGAGGATATTTGGGCATCAAAACAACCACTCCTGGTGAAATTTGTGGGTAGGCTTACTTTGTATATGAACTTTTTCCTTTTTTAAAGTGTATATGTCTTTTAATTTTATCTTAGTTTCCCTTATATTGGATGAGCTCAAATTTGGCAAATTGATTTCTTATATTTGTGAAAAATACCCAAAATATTTTAAAATCGAAAAATAAACTAAAATGAAAATTTTACATGAGTATCTTTGTCGAATCTATTTAAGTTAATTATATTTTTTAATATTTTTAGCAAGTATGATATGGTAAGAAGCATGGAAGCTTGAAAATTAAAAAATAAAACTAAATTATGATATTTACTATAAAAAAATGGGACTCAAGTGTAAAATAAATAAGGGACTACCCCTAAATTTCTAAATTAAAAGGATCTTTTTCTTAGCCATTTTTTTTACCATAGATATATTCTTGTCCTAAGAAAAAAGAATAGTGCTTATGTTAATCACCGTTCCTGTGAAACTATTGACGAACATCATTTTCTCATCACTCATTTATCACTATACATAAATAATTTTTTAAAAGGTTAGGTTAGGATACTCATACTATGGACTAATTTATCATTATACTCAACAAATTTTGGACACTTTTATAGCTTTGTTTTGTACATTGATCATTTTTTAATAGAGGTATTTTTTGTCATTAAGAAGGTATGATGTCATCACATGGGGTGTGACATTAACCATATGGCATTTAGTGCACAATGCGCATAATGTCATACTCATATAGATGATGTCACACCCCTCTTAATTACCAAAAATACCATTACTAAAAAATAAACTCAATGTACAAAACAAGGGTATATAAATAAATTATTTCATAGTATGAATACCCTAACATAACCCTTTTTTAAATTCTAAACTAGCGATTGTTCAAGTACCAGATTGATATTAGTTTACAGAACTATTACATAGTTGTTTTGGGACGAGTCATGGTATCCAATGTTTCTAGTAATCACCAATAAAGTATCTATTAATGGCCTCGGTTATCAATCACGCCCTCTAAGAGTGGTGATTATTTGAAGGAGCAGTAAAAAATAAGTTCTTTTATTAATCAAAAAGGTTTTATATGGTATCAACTTTATACTATTAAAAAAAGTTACATCTCAAAAACCCATCAAAAAAGTTGTTACAATATTAAAAAACCTTCAAATTGGTCATCTCAACCTTGAGGTGTATGAATATGAATGAAACAAATTTCAAGCCATGAAAATATAGTACATCTTGTAACGCATTCTATTTTTAAAATTTTAACTTGCTTATAGATGTGCTTTAGCAGTGCCGTTTTTATAACTTTAAATTTCATTGTAATTGATTTTCATGCTTTTTACAAGGCTTTTTGACACTAAAGTTGCATCTTTTCGACATGGTTTTGAGATGCACTTGCTTTAATAGTATAAATCGTATATGATTGTTACCATTTATTAGTTTATATAAATAAGGAAATAAAGATTTGAAAAATCTTAGAAGATAATTAATTTCTAATTTCCTATTTTGACGGCCGTTTCTTTTTGAGAAACTATCATTAAAGAGGATGAACCACCTTACAAGGGGTCAAGCTATTTCTAGCAACGTTTG